ATTGACCAACAATTAATATTATGTTTGATTGCAAATCGATTGGGAATTTTATTTCGAGCTTAGCAAGGTTCGAAATTTCCTATTTGGAGTATTGTTTTTGTATGATAGATTATGATCTGGGTTTATGTTAAGAATATAATTTTTTGTTAGTTTTTAATGTTTTTTTTTTTAAATTTAATTTTACTTGGCCAAAAATGGTCAAAAAACACTTTTTATCATTTTATGGACTTTGTTATAAAATTCTTTGCTCTGTACTTTTCCCTCCACTCAGGCACTGGAACCGAATTTCGTGTTATTGTCTCCTTTTATTGATTTATTTGGTGTGTGTCCTCTTCCTGCCGCATTCCTTTTTTATCATTTGCCATTTTATTTGTGTGCTTATTTTTGATTAGATTTATTTATTTTTATTTTCGCTGAGCCGTCGTCGTCGGCGTCGTCGATGAAATTTAATAATTCCACTTAATGCAATAATAATTTCGTCGCCTTTTGTTGCCGGCCCCAGGATTGGAATCGGACTCGGAACGAGAAGCCTGGATGAAGCCTGGGCGCCGGGCATCCCCGTCGCCCATTCGTGCCATCGTTGTCGTCATCATTTTTGTGGCCAACGCATAATTTGTGCGAAATTTGTCAGATTGCTGCCACAGCGTCGAGCGGACGAGCTCTTAAGGCTGAGTAATGCCCGGGAATCGGGGAAAGTGGGGGAAAAGTCGGGGGAAAGTCGGGGAAATCGGGGGTGCCAGAGTCATTTGTAATATGTTTTATTTGACTTGCGGCAGCTGCTTCTCTCAATGAAGGCTAAGTAATTGACGCTCCGAACTCCCGGCGGAGGGGCGTGCCGCAGAGGCAGCTGATTACAATTAGTTGCGGGGTGGGGAAGGGAGTTTCGCTAAATTGTTGCCAGCCGGGAAAAATAGCGGAAAATGAGTGGCAAAATGCTCTGGATTTACGCCAATTGGGAGTTGGCATTTATTCGCCATTTATATTCTTGTTACCTATAAAAACACGCACCTGACAACTCACTTTAATGTATGTCAAACCTCAGCACTTGGCAACTGGCTGGAAGAAAAATAAGAAATAACAAAAAACACAAATAAGAATGGTAAAAAATTCCAGCGGCCTCTTTTTGACATTTTGAGTGACATTATTTGTGTCAACAATAAAACACTCAAGCAGCAAGAGCAAGATGAAGACGGTAAGCGAGAGAAAAAAGTGTAAGTGCACAGGGAGAAAAAACGATGTGTTAAATAAGGTGATACATAAAATATAATATTGATAAGTAGAGGTTTATAGCAAAAGAAAGGAAAATTTAAATGATTTTTCTATGAATATATTACAAATAAAATCGAAATATACCTACTTTTCAATATATTAATTAAAAATCAAAGAAATGTAAACGTCATAAAATATTTCTTATCAATAAATAAATATTAAAGTGAGAAGCAAAATAAGTATTTTTGATTTGATTTTGAATTTTGATTTTAATTTTAACAAATTATTTATTTTAATTCAGAAATTAAAATCCAGCACTTAACTATGTCAATTTTTTATTTCTTTGTGTTAAAGTCAGACTTTATTTAGCAAACCCCGGAACATTAGCCAATAAATGAATAATAGTCTTTATAAAGTAGTTGTATTGTTACAAAACTTATCTAAACACTTAAAAAATAAACGTTTTTTCTAATTTTTTCCAATGTGTATATAGGGAGTTGGCAGCAAATAAGCACAAGTACAAAGTGGAAAGTGAAAATAAGCAGCAGAAGGAAAACGAACTCAAACCAAGGCCAGTGCAATTTAAAATTCAATAAAACTTCAATCAGCGTTTAAAAATGTGTGTGTGTGTGGGGGTGTGTCGATGAGTGTGCGAGTGTGTGTGTCCCTGTGTGAGTGTGGCAAGTGGAAAGTGGAAAGACAGCGCCCAGCAATTTAAACAAATTGAAAGCAAGCGCAAATAAAAAACAGTTTGTTGCCACTTTTCACATCAATTACGCACTTCAGCCGAAATAGGCGACGAGGACGAGAACGAGAAGAATAAGAAGAAGAAGAAGGCAGCCCAGCAACGAAGAAGAAGAAGACGCAGAACGAGTCCTTCGACCCGCCCAACCCCCCCACCCCCAACCACCCCATCCACCCCCTCAATCTCTTCGGCTGCTGCCTTCTAGTACAAAAATAACACTTGAAACTAAACGCGCATTCAGGCAACGCCGCTGCCGCTGCCTCAGTCGACGTCGCTGCCTGCCACACCCACCAACAACAATTTTCGCCTGCGAACACGGGGCGTATTTTTCCACGTTGCCGTTGCTGTTTTTCCCTATGACCATCTGGGCGTTGGGGGGAAAAACCGAAAAGGGGAAAGGGGGAAGGGGAAGGGGGACTTCAATTGCCACCCACAATTTGAATACGTGCCTTTTTACCCCACCCCTTCCCTTTGTGCGTGTGTGTTTGTCTAGGTTTTCCTTTGCGAAAAGCGAAAGTAAATGTTTGAAAATCGCAAGGAAGGAAAAATCAAGTAAGCATCTGTAGAAAAAAGTAAAGCATCGATGGGGGATGACGAAGCCCTGATGCTCTGGGGGGATTTTAAAAAGGATGATAACCGATTCTGCAGGAGAAATCAGTACAAATAGCTATAAATCCTTTGTAGAATTTGTTCTTGCTGGTAAGATTACAAAGCTTTGTATGAAAAATGTTTACAAATTTTTTAGGGATATATGGAAATATTTTAAACCATTAATAGATAATATATGGAATGAAAGTTATGTAAAATAGTTTAGTTTAATTAATTTTAAATACTTTCAAAAATAGTAAATGTACTTAGCTTTGGTATTAAAAATAATAATTACTTAACACGAAATGTACATTATTTAAAGCCCTTTCGCTGCCTCTTCAAAAGCTGCTCCTTATGTTGTCTTTAAAAATTTTCCCAGAACACAGAGCAAACAGAAGCGGGAATCTGCGAGCACCGTGTTTCCCCTGGAGAATCTCGGCAAACGCGCCATACCCTTTTTGAGCAGAGTATTGAAGATGGGAAAAAAGCGAAATGCTGGCAAGCTTTTTATTGCGCGTGATAACAAGCGGGGAGGCTGGTGGCCGGAATTGTCCTAAGGTGCCGAAGGACGCGGGGGCGTGGCAAATGGCAGATGGGGAGGGAAAATGGGCCGAAGCGGTACGCGGAACTGAGAGATCTGAGAGCCGGCGAACTGGAATCTGGTGGGCCTCTGGTCTCCGGACAGCGGGCTGTGTTTGATGTTATTATAGATGACGATGACGATGATGATGGCGGTGACGACAGCGCGCCTCTCGCACACAAACACAAAGCACACATCCTCATCCTCGCAGCCAGGATGATTTGGTCCCCACTCCTGGACCGGGGCAAACCCCCGTCCTTTTACCAAGAAGGCTGCCAATCAAAGTCGCCGCGGCAAATGTCTTGTTCTTTGGCTTGTTCAGGTTGTCAAGGCTCCCCAAGTACATGCGTGTGTATGTGTGTCCGTGTCCTTTCACTATGAGTGTCTTCGTTTGACAGCCATTACTTTGTTGCCTAGGTGTTGCCGTCGCCATTGACAATGATTTGCCTTGGCTTAAAGGCGCCCGATCCGCCTGGAATTTAATTCGCTCGAAACAGATTCTCGGGCGGCGAAATAAGCCTAGAAATATCTGGTTTTCATTGCCATCTAAAGCGGTTTTTTATTTTTAAAATAAATAAAATTTAAGTGTTTTCCATTTTTAATCATTGCTAGTAAATTCCAAGCTAAGTTCAGATGCTAAAATCATAAATAGCTAAAATAAAAGAATATTATTCAGCAATCCAATTAAATAAATTTATTTTTCTTATACCAAAAAGTTCTAAATTTACAAATAATATTATTCAATGGATTATTAATTCACTAAAAATTCTTACTCTGAGTTTTTTCATTTACTAATAGAAGCTACAATAGCAGAAATTCCGAAGTAAGTATTCTTATTATACAGCAAACTTAAGCGAAAGCACGAGTAGGAAATTTCGTATTCATTATTTAATACGCTGAGCGACATTTGTCAAATCTATGGGAATTACTATTTCCGGCGGAAGTTCGTCGCACTCTCCTCTCTACCTCCTCTCTCTCTCTACTTTCTTTGCCGGCTACCTGAGCTGCGCTTAGGAAAAAGTCCTTGCTGGCGCTTTTATCCTGTTCCGCGGCTGCTGCTGCTGCTGGCGCCTAACAATATGCAATAATAACAATTTACATATTCATGAGACGCCCGACCCGCAAACAGCAGCAACAACAACAACAGCAGGAAGGAGTGGGCGGAGCTGAGGGGGGTGGAGGTAAAAGTGGAGCGGCGGCAGTTTGCATAAAGAGCAGCAGAGGCCGCTTAAAAAAATCAACAAGAGCACCCCAACCCCCTTTCTGTAAACCCGATTGGACAGCAGCCCTTTTGTTAAGCCGGGACGTAACTGTAGCTGGCCAAATATTTATATTTATTCCGCCTTTCTTTACCCCTCCCTTAACTCCCCAGCTCATTTATTTATTTTTCATATTTTTATGATATTTATTTTTGGGGCTGGTATTTTGTTTGCCCCGGCAGCGCAAATTTTTGCGCTTCGAATACTTTTGCGAGTTGGATTTTGAATGCTGATTGCCGAGGGGTTTGGGGTTTGACGGGGGAAGGGGGGTTGGGGGGTTGCCCTGTTGGGTTGCAAAAAGGTTAAGCTACAAGTATTATTTTTAGTTGGGCGCCCACGATTGAGGCTGTGGCCGCTTTTGGCTCCGCTCTTAGCATCCGCATCCGCTCTTCGGGACCAGGGAATCTCGGCAAGAACCTACCACAAAAATAAATCAAAACAAAGGCCGTTTGGAGATGTAAGAGCGGAAGAGCAGAAGAGAGATGGTCGGGCGAACAGCATCCACATGGGATTCTCTCGCTCTGCTTTCTCTCGCGCAGCGACGCCTTTGAACTGAGAATCGAGAACTGGGAACTTGGGAACTTGGGAACTGCGAGGTCCGTCAGTCAGGTGCAGACAGTTGACGTGTTCGGTTGACAAAGCGGAAACGTGCACTAGTCTATTTGGTTAACTACAAAAATCAACTGACACACACAAGAGCGCCTGAGTGAGCAGGACAGCAAGCAGCGGGCGAGCGAAAGCGAAAGAGAGAGAGAGCAGATAGCCAGACAGAAAACAACAAAGAGCAGTGATGCCAGCGCAAACTAGATAAATGATAGCGAAAAATGTGCAAAATAAAGGCGACAACTACTGGCAAATAGCAAATATTAAAGACGAACAACAACAACGAGCGCCTGTGTGTCCGTGTCCCCGTGCGTGCGTGTGTGTGTGAGTGTGTGAGCGAGAGAGAGAGGGAGCGAAAGAGCGCGAGTGCAAGTGTGTGAGTGTTTTGTATCTGTGCCAGTGTGAGTGCGTGTCACATATCAGCAGCAGCAGCAGCAGCAGAGGAAAAATCAGAGGCAGCAGCAGCAGAAGTTCAGTGGAAAAGCGCGCAGCCAAGCAGGAAAATTTGTAAAGCAAGTCGGCAGAGCAGCGGCAGAGGCAGAGGCAGCGGAGGAAGCAGCGCAGCAGCAGAGACGCCAGCAGAAGGTAGGGCCAGGACATTTTCTTGTTTTTCCACAGTTTCCACAGCATGGCAGCATAACAGCACAGCAGCATAACTCACCACACCCTGATCCTGCAGGACCAGCAGCTGCGCAGAGATTTTCCTCCGAGAAGAGACAGAGAAAGCATTTTCCGAGAGAGATTTCCCACCGAGATAAGAGAGAGCACAGAGAGAACGGAGAGAGAGAGCGCCAGATTAGCGATGCTTTTCACGTGGAGTCTGTGCACAGAAATTGCCATCCATCCATCCATCCAAACAGGACCTTCCCCCCAGAGCAGCCCACCCCCTCCCCTCACCACACACACACACACACGCAGTAAATGTAGAAGAAAAAAACATACACAAAAAAGTTATGAAAGTTGGGTCCAATTGTCTTTGGTGATTTTTCATAGCCCGCTTTTGTGGGCCACGTTACTTGGTTACTTGGTTTTTTGGCCCGCGGGATCGCAAGGAGCTGCCCGAGTAATTGCTTTAAATTGACACAATGTGTAAACAAAGCTGCGGAAAATTCAATTTCCACGCCAGCCTGACCTTGCTCCGGTTTTTGGATTGGATTGGATGGGATTGGATTTGGATTTGGATTGCTTTGAATTGGATTGGTGGAATTCCATCTGGGATTCCGAGATTCCGCTGCCTCGGCAATTACAAGCTGGTAATGCAACGCACACACACTTGCACTTGCCTGCCTTCTAGCCAAAAGGATGCCAATAAAAATGTAGGATACTGTGTCACACAAATACACAGATCGAGTGAGTGTGTGTACGTGTAAATGACCGGAAACTGTGCTCAAGTGCTCCCTGGCAAGCGATGAGGCTACTTTCGTCTTTCGCCAAGGAGTCTCCTTTCTTTCGGGAACTCGTGAAGAAGCACTTCAATTGTCAAATTGCTCTTGCTTATTGTTGCAATAGTTCTGCTGATGGACAGGTTTTCCCAGCTCCCAGCTCCTCGCTCCTTTCACTTGTTTTTAAAGCGATTCCCGCAGACATAGTCGCTTTTTATGGGCGTCGTCCTGTCGTCTTTTGCAGTTCTTCTTGCTCAACCAAAGCCGGGCAAAACGAAACAATCAACACGGAAGCAGATTCCTCGTTCTTCCTCACTACTCTCCTTGTTTTTTTTTTGTTGTTTTTCCTCCTGTTTTCTGTTGTTTTGTTGGCTGTTTGTTGTTTCTGAGCCGTTGTGTTGGTGTGCTGGTGCTTTTCCTACACCCGACTATGTACAAATCAGCGTGGCCTAGTGCGCTGCTTGAGGTTGGTGCTTTTGTGCCGTGAAATGCGAGTTTTATGGCGGAGTGGCTGCTCGGCTTCATCGGGTTGACATTTAAGTTGTTTCTTTCCTGTCATTCAAGAGTGCGACTGCGGGTGTGAGTGTGTGTGTGTGTGGGAAAGTTCAAAAGTCAGCCAAGTCAGCAAAGTTCCCCCTGCCAGCGAACAGCGTACACGGGGCGTATGAGGAATTGCAATCCATGGCGCATACGCCCCGTGAACACGTCTACGTCGCTCTGTCAGGCTGAAAGCCACAACTATCGCCAATCAATTGAATTAAGCTCGGTGGCCAAATTGCAGTGCACGTGGCAGGCAGCCGAAGGAAAATTGTAAATTGAAAATTGTGAATTGCACTTTCCTTTCCTCTCCTCTCCCCTCCTCGCACCCAAAACCATTTTCCTCGAACTCGGGGAAAATTGAAAGCTGTCAGCGAGCCTGATTCACCAGCAACAACTCAACAAGCCGCAGTCAGAATTTCATAAACAGGACAGGACAACTGAAAATGTTGAGATACTCTCTCTTGGTTGGACTGATACACAGATACACACAGATACAGATACAGACACTTGACGTTGGGCTAGACAAAGGCAAAAAGGCAATTATAGAAATACAGACGAGCGGCAACAAATAATAAAAGCAAGTTGCCATAGACAATCACAACAACCACGGGGCTAAGATGGTGAGATTGGGGGAGGGGTTTTAGGGGAGGGGGTGGGCCCAGAACGATGTTGACGACAAGTAGCTGCAAAAGTTCTGCGACGTTTTGCGCATATTAAACAAAGTTGACGACAGCGACGCCGGCAGTGGCCAGCAAACCGAGAACTCCGGACCGAGTTCGAGTTCTCCAGACTCCGTTTCCCCAGCTTCCCCAGCTTCCCAGTTCTCCAAACGGAGAATTGTGAACTGAGAACTCACACAGCGGCAGCCGCAGTCGCCGTCTCATTATTTATTTGATTGCCCGCACAGCCAATGCTCGAATTACCCCCTGGGAAAAACTGGGGGGAAAACCCAGCCAGGGAAAGCAGAGCAAAAAAGAAACATAATAGTCAGAAGCATAAACGTAATTAATAAGGCAAATTAATGCAAACAATAATACAAATTCATTTTCGTGCACAAATGAAACTAAATTACAACAACGTGAGCCAAGCGAACCCAACCCAAGCAGCCAACAATGCGAGGCAAAAGCATGGAAAAGCATGGAAATTGAATGCTAATTTGGGTTGAGCCGAAAACTTGAATACCCTCCTGGGTATTTTTCGGGCCATGTTCTTTGGGCAAATTAAGCATGCTGAAGATTTTGCTTTAATTGAACCTTTTGTGGCGCAGCCAACTCAGGAGGAGGAGGAGAAGTAATTTAAATCGAGTGTGTGGTTTCGAGTTTCCTAAGAAATCCTCGAGCTTAATGCATGGAGGAGTCCTGAAAATGCACACGATTATAATCTCTTTTGCTTGCATTTCTGTTCTATTATTTGCATTATTATTCTATTATTTTTGTGGCCTAATCATCTTGTGTTTCTATTTCACAAAAGCCCCTAAGCAATGGAAAATATGAGTCCGAAGTTTTTGTGTAATTTGATTTTAATCTGTCCTAACTATGAAACAAACTAAATTGTGTAATTCAGTTTTATTTTATCCTTTTCATTTTAATTAACTTACGTCTATATTTAAATGAAACTAACTACAAATGATTAAGACTACTTAGGCAGTTCATAAAACTATGAAATATTTAAAATAGCCCCAAAAATAAATAAATAAATTTTCTCAAACTCAAAGTTTAGTTTGTATTCCACAAAGCTACACTGTATATAAAATTCCCAGAATCCCAAAATCTCTTGCTGGCAGTTCATTCGACTAAATCTTTTATTAATAAATTAGATTCTGCTCTTTGTATTCCTGCTAATTTCTCGGCAAGTTCGACGGGCAAGTTATTATACCCTTCCCCAGAAGCCCAGTTGCAAGAACAACAATAAATGGCAACTAATAAGCACAGGTCACAAATACCCACACCCTTAAGCACTCACACATACACAGACCATCGACAACTAAACAGTTCGTCGAGCAGAAAAACGAGGAAATCTACTTAATCACGTTTAATTAAGGTGAGTTTATAAGTAGCCCTCTGTGCGAATGTGATTGTGGATGTGGGTGTGTATATCTGCGGGTCGGTGAGCATACACATTCGCATTTTTTTTGCGAATTGCTTTTATTGCCATTTTGCGGAGGAGCCGACGACGACGAATGATACAAAAGAGCTCTGCCAGGTAATCACAACTGGCCTCAGACCTCAGCCTCCAGCCCCACATAAATGCAAATTAGGGTTAGATGTTCACGAGTGTGTATATAGGGATGGCTTCCAGCTGGGGGGATTATAATAATAATAATTATGCAAGTGGCTTGAATGGATTTATTGGCTGCACATTCATCAGGAGTCAAGTGCTGCGTTAAGCACTTGGGCTCATTTTCAAAGGCAGGAAAGATCTCGATTTTAGGCTGATCATACCACATAATCAGGGCAATTGGAAAGGAAACAAAAACCCAACTTGCTAGTTGCTTTCACTTTGATTTATGCCGGGGCCCAAGTTGTTGTTCTCACTGTCACACACAGAAATCTGTATGTCACACATTTGGTTAATTGAAAAAGCATCAAGGCCCTCATCATTAGCAAAAGCTTCGTGACTTGTGTCGCTGCTCGTCCGACCTCTGCCCCTGCTCCTCCTGCTCCTCCTGCTCCTCCTCACCCAGGACATCCTACCTCCCCCTCCCCCCCGCATTTATGTAATCGATGCATGTCGAACAGCAGCAACAAAGCCAACAACAAGTGAATGGCGTGTGTGACACGAGCTGAAAAACGAAACGAACGAGCCAGAAAGGAGAGCACACAGGACGTAGAATAGAGGATAAATAGAGGAGGGGTTGGTATAGGGGGTGGGATATAGGAAGGCCATAGGGTACAGAGGGCCATAGAGGAGGGCTAAAATGGAACAAACAAAAACCTATCAAGTTGTATGCTCGTTGATTTCAATTTGTGAATTGTTGTTCTTTGGCGAATGCATTTGCATTTGCATATTGCACATACGCCATGTTGCCTTGTATGTTTTTCTAATTAAGCCCCAGCTAACAAATAAAAAATAATTAAAAATCCCCGAAAACAGCAAGGGATGGTGGGGCGGGGGTATAGGGTGTTCGTTCAGTGAAACCCAGATAAGGGTAGAATTTGCTCTATAAATCGCGATGTTTGCCCTTTTTTTCGGGGCTCTCTGTTTGCTCTGTTTTCCTTTTTCGTATAGCCTGCTTTTTGCCAAGCGCTTGGCTAAAAAGTACATAAATTTCAAATAAGTCACGTTTCCGGCATAGTGCCCCAGCACGCATACAGAGACACAATCCCTAACACACACACACACACACTTGCCTGCATGGCGTCTAAAAATTTGCTTTGTTGTGGCGTCTGCGGCCAACGGCAAATAAATAAAAAATAAATGGTATAGTGCCACGCCTTTGCCTTTGCCGAAAATAAAATGGAACTAAATCGAACAAAATATTTTTGCCTGTTTAGCTTAGTTTGCCAGCGACTCCCCTCTCTCCCCTCTCTGGCGCTTTAACTTTTAATTTTTATTTTCGTGAAACTTTTTTGATTCGAAAGTTGCACAGTAGTTGAGTGCTCAGCATTCATTTTAATGCTGATTTCGCAAATTATTGTCAGTCAACAACTGTAAAAAAATGGT